ACACGCCTGGTCATGCCACCTTCAGAAACACTTCCCTGCAAGTCCAGCATGCAGAATGGTGAGTTGTATTTTTCGCCCTTTCTCAGGCAAATGAGAACCTGTCCTCCTCAAATCTTAGTGGAAGCAGGGCTTAATGGTGACATTTCTGTACTCTCTCTTAAAGGCTTAATTCCTTTTAATTAGAAGCCCTAAGGTTACAGGAATTGGCTCAAGCTGGGGTGTTAATGTGGTTTGTGGTGTTCTGCTTTGTGCTGCGAGACTGCTGAAGGAAAAGAATGCCGAAGGGAGGTGCTGCGGGGGAGCATAGGAGAGGTCTCTTCCACGGCTGGTAAGGGGATGCTCAATGGTACCGTGTCCGTGCTGCCACTGCAGGCCAAGGCAGGAGAGCAGGTGGGCTGCAGCGCACCTGAAGCAGCAGAACCAGTCCCTTCGCTGCTGCTTCTGCCCACAGGCGAGATCCAGCGAAGCTGGCAGGCATGGCTGGTGCACATCCCTGGAGGGGGGCAGCCTTGGGGCCTACCATGGTGGTCCTGGCCTGCTTCCTGCCCATCTTTCTGAGCACCCAACCCATCGCTACCACCACGTTAGCCATCTTCGTCAGATCAGACATGTCTTTTAGCTCTGGCCTGTCGTGCTGTGCAGTGAGGGGCCTAGCAGGGGATGGAGCAGGACCCTGCCTCTGTGCCCACCGATGACTCCTCCCCCCAGCTCTGATCCTGGGCTGGATCCAGGCAGCCAACCTGGAACATGAGGGAAAAGGAGGCTGTCGCCCACCACCCCTCTGTTTCCTCTGACCTCCCCGGCTCCTGGTGTTACTTTTTAAATGAGCTCTGGGCAGGCTGGTGTCCAGGTAGGTTCATTGCCATCCACATCGCAGTGTTCCTGGCAGGAGCTGTGTGGCTGATGGAGCTTGGGGCAGCCTTGCCCCAGGGACCAGCCCTGCAGACAGCAACCACAGGAGTGCGCAACCAGGGCGAGAGGTGACACAAGAAAGGGAGACCAGAGGTATGTTTTAAATACTTTTATTTCTTAATTTACATAAAGGTATATATTTGGCTTATTTATCTTTTTTATACTCTTGAGATTCACAATCAATTGCTCTTAAAAAATAAAATAGTCATTTGCTTCTGAAAGAAATCAGAAAACTATTTTATACTCCTCCCTTGTATAACAAGAAAATATACTATATACTCCCGTACATCACATAGCAAAAGTGACTGTAAGTGCTGTTTTACCACACCATAAAGCAAATGGAGAAGAAAACAAACAATTAGGGCGGAGGATGCAGAGAGGAGCTCTGCTTTCCGGGGTACAGCCATTCATTTATAGGGTTTGTCACCCTGAGGGTCTCTCTTAGGTAGTCTGCAAAAGGGGAGAGGCTGTTGGGTTCACCCAGATTCTAGCTCTGTGAGCGATGGCAGCAGGAGGCATTACAGTTACTTAGGTTGGCAGCTTGCTGCTTTTTGGGCAATTTTCTTGCCTCCCTGTGCAGTTCCCATTACCTCTGTTCCTCGCTGTGTACAAGCCGCCTAATTGCTTCTGCAGTGGGTGCGTTGGTGCAAATGCAGTATTGGCTGTGGAGGGAGTTAATGCTTGCTTAAACAAAAACCCAACAGACGTTTATGAGTAGAAGAAGCCCTCGTGATTAACTGAGGGGCATCCTGGACCCTCCCCAGCTCGCTCTGGATACCCTGCGCCAACCCTGATAAACGCAGTAAGGCTGCGTCTAACTTTGTAGCTCCCACAGAGTGTGGGGAGAGCGGCAGGAACCTGTGCCTTGTAGCAAACCATTGGCAATGCTGCCCCTCGGGCAGAGGTGGGGAACAGGGACAGAGCACTGGGGAAGGACCAGTCGCAGCCGAGGAACAGAGGGAGGCAGCAGGTACCAGGGAGTGGGGGCAAGACAGGGCAGCACCAGCCGACAGCCTGGAGACCTCTCCCCTCGCTTGGCAACCTGTCCTGAGGAGATGCATATGTGCTGGGATGGGAGGGTGCGAGTAGTGCTCGCTGCCTTTTGGTAGTATTTTCCCATATGTGTTCAAATGCATTCAAGGGCTTCTATTTGTGTAGTCTAATTTTCAGACATTCGCATGAAGTGATTTTGCATGCGAGAGATCAGTGGCTTTAAAGGTATTTCTGTCATTACTGGGACTATTAACTTTGTGTTGAAGTTTAGAACCACAAACATAACCTTGATGACCTGTACAACCGCTTAGTTAAGTGGCAGGCTGGAATCTTACTTCATTTGATGTGATGGGATACTAGAATACGTGGATTCTTTATTAAAAACTAATTATATTTTCCTGTTAACAGCATTTCTTTACAAAATCAGAAATACTAACTTTAATGAGGGTTGTTACTCAGCTTGGATATAAGTAATATGCATTCAGTCTAAACTCCTGTTCTCATTCCAGAAACGCTTCCTATGTGTATACCAAAAATTATTCCACTGATCCCACACTGCTCCACAAGGTCTACAATGAAATGGCCCAAACAGCTTCCAAGCCTGGTTACATCTATACCTACATAAAGTGGAGGCACAGGGGAAACCAGCACAAGGCCCAGTTTCTGTTCGGTAATACGTCCAGACTTGGTGTACCTGTGTATTGCTGTACTCTACAGACCCTTGATCTAAGCGAGCTGGTTTCCTGCTAATGGACCAAATACCAGTAGAAGCACTGACTGAATGATTCTTCACAGCTAAAACAAGAAACACTCAACAAGCAATGCAGCCTTTCAGCTTCTGGGCATTCGAATATGGGCCATCAACAGGTAAAAGAGCAGCAGCGCCTGCAGACGTGGAACGGCTGAGTTTCCTTTCCCTTCTGTTCATCTCTGAGCTGTCGCAGCTGCTGCGGCTTCCCTCTCTTAGCCTGGAACACGTGGGAGCAGGGATTCAGGGAATCCCTTGGTGTGGAACCGCTGCAGGTAGGACTTGCTTCTCGCTCCCTTGCTTGCTCCCTTCCCTCTTTCCTTGTTAAAAAGCCACAGCAATTTCCTTCATATGCACAGAAGATAAAGCTGGCCTCCTGTAACAGCAGCGTGCTTCTCTAGCAAGGACTGGGGCTTGTCGCTAACAAGAACTAGTGAAATTACAACACACTTAAGTTCCCTTTTCAGTGTTGACTCCTGAGAATTAAG